GTCAGAAATTGGGATCCCTTCTTTAGGCTCTTGAGTGAGATATGCCCATGTAAATTTGCTCTGAATATTTAGGTCCCTTGATATCCCAAAAGTGGTGTTTCTTAATACTCCAATAGACATGATCATTGAATTCTCATAGGTCACGTCCATTGGTTCTTCTTAAGACACATTCTTTGAATGAAAATTGATGTCCTTTTTCTTTTCAATGGTCACATCTTTTGGATTCTCAAAGGTCACGTCTCCTAAATCTTCCTTTTGGCAAATGGTGCCTCTTGGTAAATCCTGCAAGTCAAAGAAAAAATCTGCATGTTCAAAGTTAGAATAATCATCTTTAACCTTGCATTTTGTCAATAGGCATTCTCGAATCAAACACTTTGAAGAATAAGAACTTGTTTTTGGATCAGTTTCTTCCACGGTTGTTGCTTTTCCTTTCCTCATAGCCTCAATACTCTGTTTCATTCTGACTTGATCATTCTGAACTTGTTTAGGCGTTAAAGGAGTTAGGATAATCTTCTTTCCTTTATGGCTGAACGAGTATTGATTGGTAAAACAATCATGAATAGTCCTTTTGTCGTATTGCCATGGCCTTCCAAGAAGTAGATGGCTAGCGTGCATAGGGACAACATCACACATAACCTCATCTTTGTATTTGCCAATGGAAAAAGGAATTATCACCTGTTTGCTAACGTTGAGTTCTCCTCGTTCATTGAGCCACTGCAACTTATATGGATTTGGGTGCTTCATTGTTTTCAAACCAAGCTTTTCCACCATTATTGTACTAGCCACATTAGTACAACTTCCACCGTCTATAATAACAAAACATACCTTTTAATTCACATGGCATCGGGTATGGAATATGTTTTCTCGCTGTGCATTATCTTCCGCAACTTGAAGATTCAAACTTCTTCTAATTACCAAGGCTTCTCCTTGATCAACGGGATCTGCAAGAGTTATTTCTTCATTGACTTCAAGGGGTGCCTCTTCTTCTTCTTCAGGTTCTGATTCTATTTCACCATTTCCAAGTAAGAGCATGGTATTCCGGTTAGGACATTGTGTAGCTATATGGCCCCTCCCAAGACATTTAAAGCACTTAATGTCTCTTGAACGTTTAGTAGTTTGCTTTCCTCGATTGGGGTCTTTTACTTACTTGTTGAGTCTTCGAAGATTCAGCTTGTTCTTTAACAGGAGGAGGAGTAGGTTTCTTTATGTTTGGATTCCATCTTGATGGTGTAGGAGCAACATTGCGAGATGTATGTCTCCTCTTCAGTTGTCTTTCAATCTTCATTGCCATTTGCACCATCTCATCTAGTTCGATGTAATGATACAACTCTAAGGTATTGGCAATTTCGGGATTAAGTCCAGCAAGAAATCTTGCCATAGTTGCTTCACGATCCTCCTCAATGTTGACTAGGATCATGGCCACTTCCATCTCTTTGTAGTAGTCCTCCACACTCTTACGGCCTTGTTTAAGATTCTGTAACTTTTGAAACAAATCACGGTGATAGTGGACAGGAATGAATCATTTTCTCATAATACCTTTCATTTCAAGCCAAGTTGAGACCGGTTGTTCTCCATTCCTCCTTCGGTTAAGGGTAAGTTGATCCCACCATATTAAGGCATAGTCTATGAACTCCATAGCTGCCAATCTCACTTTCTTCATCTTGAAATAGTTGTGGCAACTAAAAACATGTTCCACTTTGCTTTCCCATTCAAGATAGGCTTCAGGATCAGTCTTTCCTTGGAATTGAGGAATTTTGATCTTAATGTTGCTCAAATTGTCATCAACAATGGCACGTCTAGGGCCTTGGAATACTGCTTGTTCACCCTCGTCAAAATTTTCTTGAACAACTTCTTCTGGAGGGGGTGGTTGTTGTTGTCTTCTATTGGCTCCATTATTACGGGTTGGTGGTAGATCATGGTGTTGATCTATCTTTTCATGAAGAGCATCGAACTCTTCACGAAACATTCTCATCATTTCACCAATGAGTGCCTGCATTTGTAAGTTTTGTGTTCCTGCATTTCCTTGGGGACTTTGAGACATGGTTAGTGAAATAAAGTAATTTAAAACCTCACGTGATCTCTCCAAGAAAATTCAGATTGCACTCCACTCACTCTCGTGTTTGCACTCAGGGATATGATCCTTGGCTTTTTTTCTGATCCCCCTTCTAATCTCACCCTTTGTTTTCCTTTTACCGCTCGATTCTCTCTTGTGGGTCCTTTTTAAGAACTAACTCAAGATTGAGCAAGTTTCTTTAGTTTGTGCGTCGGTTTAGAAATGGTTAGGGTGTATGATAAAGGATAGGCTAGGAAAGGTTAAGAAAGATGATAAGGTAATGGAATAAGAAAAGATGAAAGAAAAGGAAATGAAATAGTAAATAAGTGAAGATAACTTACAACTCAAGTTGCAACACTTACTATCTTCCTTTACAAGAAACAACAAGGATACCTCCTTCAAGTTTGATGTTGGGCAGATTGTATGGTGCTTCTCTTTTAGTATACTTTGCAACTTGCTTCACTTTTCTTTTGCTTTTGATTTTCTTCTTTTTCTTTTCTTTCTTTTGTTTTCTTCTTTCTTGTTGCTTTTTTTTTTGTAGCACTTTGAATGTCAATCCACCAAAGCTCTGATTACCGCTTGATGTAAGGCTAACCAGGCTTCTTCAATAATGGAGAAGTTGGCAACCTTGTTGTTTCCCGATCTAGGAGAGACACCAAATGCTACACCTTGGATTGAAAGTAATCTGCACAAAAGAAGAAGAATTGATTAAGTAATATGATAATTAAGAAATGAAAAGTAAATGGAAATGGAAAGAATAGAAATGGATAGAATAGTTATCAAAGAAGGGCTGTGGAAGTGTTGTAGAATGATCCTTCAAGTGATGATAGATTCGGCCTCCAATGGTGGTGATGGACGAATGCCTTGTTGAGGATGAAGGATAATTCAAAGATGAAGAAATGGAAATTTATAAGTTGGTGATAATATAGGCGTGATATGGTGATGGAATATGGTGATGATATAGGCGTGATAATGGTGATGGACAGATTGTATCTTATAAAACTAAGAAGGAACCAATGCTATTAAAGGAGCAAAGACCCGTTTCTTATAAGTTTTATAAGGGATGGTATGAAAGGACTTTGACCCACTAGTTATTTAAACTAGGAACCAGAAGTATCAAGGTGAAGGAATGACGCCACAAGCTTTAGAAAGGCTTGCTTAATCGATATAGTTCTAAAAGAACTTGAAGAGAGAATAATCTCACAAAGGATTTTTAATATCAAAGGGTTGAGTTTACAAATGAATGCCAAAGCCTATTTATAGATTTGTAAAGGCTTGGCCGAATAAATACATGCCTTTTCGGCAAAGTACATGTCTTAAAACGAAAATAAATGATGCTTGGATGAGGGGAGATGTCTTTGGCCGAATGGTTCCCATATCTCTTCATCTTGGCGCCAACTTGAAGCATGATGATGTTTAGGCCGAATAGAGAGAAGCCTCTTCATTTTGGCGCCTATTTCATTCACATGCAAAGCACATAGGTGGCTGGTCATGTGGCACTCACATGGATGGTGTAGAATGCTTAAGGCGTGGACTCCTCCATGGCTTGAAGATGAACAAAAACTTAGGCGTGACTTGGCATCAAACATGTGTCTAGGTGACATGGCATCAATGGGGCAGCACCTAATTATGAAAGGTCACATTTGTGTGAAACAACCTTTCATCATTTGAGCTACTTCCCATGAGTTTGAGCTGAAGTTGAGCTAGCCATAGATGAAGGACATGTGTACAAGTCATAGGACAGCTCCTTGTGAAAAGGCACTTCTCGGAATGGTAAATCTTCACGGAAAAGGTACGAATTCATAAAATTCGACCTAGACCATATTTGTAGTGCTCTATGTGGTGAAGATGATGGTGCAACTCTCCAGTTGAAATGAAGTCTCTAGCTAGCTCAGCTATCAACTTTTCACCATTTGTTCTTCATGATCTCCCGAGTCATCCTATGTAAGATTTCCTAGCTTATTGATTCCAATTCTAGCTTTAAATCAGCTCCCATGATGTGGCCGAACATGTACCTACAAAAGAAAGCATTATAAGCTAAGTAATATAAGATATAAATATGTGGTTCATAACAATAACTTCATACATTCATAATATCATCATCATAACTATAATTATAATGTATATAAGCTATTATCATAACTATGGTATAAAGAAAGATTAAGTTAAGAAAAATCCCCCTTTGAATATTGAGAAAGGTTGGAGATGCAAGTCCATTTATGACGCTGAATCGGATCACATCAAAAGTTAACTAGCTTGAGTTCATCAAGCTATAACTCACCTAGTTAGCTACCAAGACACTCACCTAGCTTACCTTGAAGCTAGTTCATCTCTAGGCTGCCCATGGACTTCAAGACATCATCCTATGTGACGCGATCACGGTCGGACCTCATCGATCGATTGTGGATCTAGGAAGGAAGCAAAACAACCTGCATAAGATAAAGATAAGAAACGGATAGTTTACGGTGGTAAATGTGATGGTAAATGGTCGGTTTAAGAGATAGTAGCGGAAGACTCGGATTTGGTAATAATATGGATAACGAATTATGGGATGGTGAAACGATAGTATCTTAAAGAAGACTCAAAGAAGAACCGATGTTAAAGAACAACGACCCAAATTTATATTGCTTCGATAAGGGATGGTAAATCGGACTTTGACCCGCTATCTATAAAGATAGGAACCATAAGTATCAAGGTGAAAGGAATGACGCCACAAGTAACGAATTACTTGATAAGTCGATAAAAGTCACGAAGGACTCGATTAGAGAAAACTCTCACAATTTCATTAAAACAAAGTCTATCTCTCTTTTACAATGCAAAATGAAGCTATTTATAAGATTAGAAATACAAATGAAACATGGACGTGTTCTATACTTTGCATGGCCGAATGTCCTCATGGTGGCCATTGGCGTGACCCCTAATTTGAGCAGAATTTCATGCAAGAATCGGTCAGATTGTTTGGTGGAGTGTGTTGGCCGAATGCTCCTTTGATAGCTGGTGGAAAACAACATTACGTGGAGACAAGGGCAAGTGGAGTTGTAGAAGCTTGTCCCCTTGATTGATTTAGCACGTGTAACTCCTCAATTGTTAGCTAGTGGAGACAAACAATTGTGTAATCACATGGGCTGTTTGGACAGATCAACAAATGGCGTGTTTCATATCCAATGGAGAGCACGTGGGTTGTCTTCAATTGCAATTGTATGAATGAAGTTCTCCAGCAAGTTTCACGTGGGATTTGTCTTCTTTTGCTCAAATAAGTGGACATATGATAAGAACAAGTGGGTTGCACTTTCCAGCCGAACTCCCCTCTTATTCTGCCCAGAATTTACGTGACTTCTGAGCTGGAAGAGATCAAGACAAAACTCCATTAAACCGAGCTTCATGGGCACATTTTAAATGCTCCATAAGCTTCCAAAACGTTATCCATTCTTTATCAACCCACATGGTCGTGTTATGTGCTGGATTTGTGTTCAAAGAATCCCTTAAAAACCGTCCAGCATGGGGCTGATCACTTGGTGTTCCTATATGATTAAAATAACAAGTTATTTTAATGTATAGTGCTGTTATAACAAGAACAAGTGCTGCCCATCACATGTTGTCTCCCACATATCCTTAATTGCCGTAGAGTGAGCTGGATAAGAGCTTCAATACGCTGCTCCAACTTGTGCTATATTTTAATAGCCTTGTTGTCGTTTTGTACCATGAAAATATGTTAAATAACCTCCTCAAAAACCGTCCAGTATGGAGCATGAGCTTTGTGTTCCACAAGTGATATGCTGAAACGTGAAAACTGGAACAAGTGCTGCCCATCACATGTTGTCTTGTGTCTTGTGAGCCTTTGTTTGCATTAAAGAGCACGTGAACTTATTTTATAAATGAGCTAAATGTTTAATATGTATGATTACTAAAATATGCAAGGATGATTGCAAATGCACGGCAAATGATACATAAATGCAGAATAACACGTTAAAATAAGTTACACAAGTGATATGCTGAAACGTGAAAACATGAATAAGTAATTTTATTTCTCATGAACAAACACATATGCATGAATGCTAAGATGACAAATATTAATGAGCTAACAAATAATTAAATATGAATGCAAATGAATTGCACAATGATATGTGAACAACACGTGAACTTAGTTGAATAACCTAGGAACTAAGTTGAATGCAAATTAGCTACAAGTATGCTGTTTATGGAAACATGTTACATAACACGTGAACATCTTAAATACTAAGATGAAATGCAAAACTAATATGATACAATAATATGCTTGACATGAATGATGATTGAACGAAAATGTGAAACATGATATGCAAAGCTACTCTAACATACTAAACAACTTAATTACTAATATGCAATGTAATGCATAAATAAGTAAATAAGTAATAAAGTAAGGAATTACTCCCTTAGAGTTAATAAGGTAGAACGTCCTTGAGGGGTTTTCGTCATGGAGAAAACCGGCCCTAAACGTGCTCACATCATCCTCCCTTTCTTTTTGGCGATTTGTCCTCAAATCGAAATGATTTCTCATTGAAGACCTTCTTGATGTAGGATGGATGGAATCCTCATACCTTTCTCCAATGGTCAACCTCTTGACTTCATATTTGGTAACTTCATATTTCCTTGAATCATCATGAGGATGGTGGGATAGCTTTTCCTTCAAATCGTTTATTTGCAAATTGGAGAGTGGCAATTTCTTATCAAGATTGCAAAGATACTTATCCTCGCAACTCAATACATCAATTCCACGTTTTTGTATCGTCCCTCCAAATAGTAAATAAAAGTTAGTAGGTAAATCAATAACAAAAGAGTTAGAAAGATTAAACCTTGGATGATACTTGATGATATCATTGGGTACCAGTTCCTTGGGAATAGAAATTTTCATTAAGTCCTTCTTTGAAACATTGCTAGAGCATGGACGATGCTCGATCATCAATAGGGTTGGCGATGTGTTTATCATGTTTCTGGAAGTACTCGTCTTGTCCTCCTGCAACAATGAAGATCCAAAAATAGAAGAAGAATGGTTAAGGTTGTTAGTGCAAATTGAAATTTTACACTCTTTCTCCTTTGCACAAACAATTTCTTTTTCAAATTCTTCATTTTCACTCTCATTCTCATTTTCGACTCCAACATTTCTCACATCGATTTTCTTATTTTCATTGCTCTCAATGTCGTTTTCAACTTTCACTTCTTTATTTTTGCAAACACTTTCTTTTTGTAGTTGTTCTTGCAATTGTGTTTCTTTGACGAAATTGTCAACACACTCTTGAAGACGAGCTAGACTTTCTGGATTAAAACATGCAAAATTTCTTGGCTCTCTTCTCGTTGAACTTTTGACATTGCTTCGGAAATTGGAATCCTCTTCGTAAGATCTTTCGTTCCAATTGGATGTAGGAACGGGTCGAGTGTCGTCTCTCCTCTTGATTTGGCCCCTGATCTTCGGCGGAGGTGTTTGTGAACAAGAACGTTTTTCGATTATACGATCCATCGTCTTTATGATTGGGTTGAGACTTTCTTTGAGCAAACTCCTCAATTCTCGACTGAAATCTTGAAATTGAGAATTTGATAAAAAAATCTCGTTCGTCATCTACTGTATAATCATTTGATCTTGTGTACTTTCGAGACATAATGAAAAGAAAAAGATTAATAAAAATAATCAAAATAACTGTTAGTAACATAAAAAAAATCTCACCAATTCACTCCAAAGAAAACTTGAATGTCGCTCAACACTCGTGTTTAACTCGGGATGGCTTTTACCCTTGGTGTTCACTCTTGCCTTTTACCGCTCAATTCTCTTTATGTCAAGTCCTAAAATGACTTTACTCAAAACCGTATCAAGTAGATTTTACTCGATGTGCGTCGGCTACAAAAAAAAGGTTAGTAGGAATGGAAAACAAAAATATACAAAGGTGTCTTAGAAATAGAAAGAAAAAAAAAATGGTTACTTACACAAAGTTAATTCACAACCTTTCTATCACCACAATCAATCAAAGCTTACTTGAATGGCTTGGTGATAAGTCTTGTTGTTGAACATTTTAATCTTCTTTTGCTGATTTTTTTCGTTTTTCACTTTGCACTATACTTGCACTTCTCTTTTTGTATATATTTTTTTTTTATTTTCGTTGTACGTTGCTTCTTCCAACTAAAAACTCTGATTACCATATGATATGATAATCTCGTTTGATGTACGGTGCTTCTTCCAACTAGCTCTGATACCAAATGACGCGATCACGGTCGGACCTCATCGATCGATTGTGGATCTAGGAAGGAAGCAAAACAACCTGCATAAGATAAAGATAAGAAACGGATAGTTTACGGTGGTAAATGTGATGGTAAATGGTCGGTTTAAGAGATAGTAGCGGAAGACTCGGATTTGGTAATAATATGGATAACGAATTATGGGATGGTGAAACGATAGTATCTTAAAGAAGACTCAAAGAAGAACCGATGTTAAAGAACAACGACCCAAATTTATATTGCTTCGATAAGGGATGGTAAATCGGACTTTGACCCGCTATCTATAAAGATAGGAACCATAAGTATCAAGGTGAAAGGAATGACGCCACAAGTAACGAATTACTTGATAAGTCGATAAAAGTCACGAAGGACTCGATTAGAGAAAACTCTCACAATTTCATTAAAACAAAGTCTATCTCTCTTTTACAATGCAAAATGAAGCTATTTATAAGATTAGAAATACAAATGAAACATGGACGTGTTCTATACTTTGCATGGCCGAATGTCCTCATGGTGGCCATTGGCGTGACCCCTAATTTGAGCAGAATTTCATGCAAGAATCGGTCAGATTGTTTGGTGGAGTGTGTTGGCCGAATGCTCCTTTGATAGCTGGTGGAAAACAACATTACGTGGAGACAAGGGCAAGTGGAGTTGTAGAAGCTTGTCCCCTTGATTGATTTAGCACGTGTAACTCCTCAATTGTTAGCTAGTGGAGACAAACAATTGTGTAATCACATGGGCTGTTTGGACAGATCAACAAATGGCGTGTTTCATATCCAATGGAGAGCACGTGGGTTGTCTTCAATTGCAATTGTATGAATGAAGTTCTCCAGCAAGTTTCACGTGGGATTTGTCTTCTTTTGCTCAAATAAGTGGACATATGATAAGAACAAGTGGGTTGCACTTTCCAGCCGAACTCCCCTCTTATTCTGCCCAGAATTTACGTGACTTCTGAGCTGGAAGAGATCAAGACAAAACTCCATTAAACCGAGCTTCATGGGCACATTTTAAATGCTCCATAAGCTTCCAAAACGTTATCCATTCTTTATCAACCCACATGGTCGTGTTATGTGCTGGATTTGTGTTCAAAGAATCCCTTAAAAACCGTCCAGCATGGGGCTGATCACTTGGTGTTCCTATATGATTAAAATAACAAGTTATTTTAATGTATAGTGCTGTTATAACAAGAACAAGTGCTGCCCATCACATGTTGTCTCCCACATATCCTTAATTGCCGTAGAGTGAGCTGGATAAGAGCTTCAATACGCTGCTCCAACTTGTGCTATATTTTAATAGCCTTGTTGTCGTTTTGTACCATGAAAATATGTTAAATAACCTCCTCAAAAACCGTCCAGTATGGAGCATGAGCTTTGTGTTCCACAAGTGATATGCTGAAACGTGAAAACTGGAACAAGTGCTGCCCATCACATGTTGTCTTGTGTCTTGTGAGCCTTTGTTTGCATTAAAGAGCACGTGAACTTATTTTATAAATGAGCTAAATGTTTAATATGTATGATTACTAAAATATGCAAGGATGATTGCAAATGCACGGCAAATGATACATAAATGCAGAATAACACGTTAAAATAAGTTACACAAGTGATATGCTGAAACGTGAAAACATGAATAAGTAATTTTATTTCTCATGAACAAACACATATGCATGAATGCTAAGATGACAAATATTAATGAGCTAACAAATAATTAAATATGAATGCAAATGAATTGCACAATGATATGTGAACAACACGTGAACTTAGTTGAATAACCTAGGAACTAAGTTGAATGCAAATTAGCTACAAGTATGCTGTTTATGGAAACATGTTACATAACACGTGAACATCTTAAATACTAAGATGAAATGCAAAACTAATATGATACAATAATATGCTTGACATGAATGATGATTGAACGAAAATGTGAAACATGATATGCAAAGCTACTCTAACATACTAAACAACTTAATTACTAATATGCAATGTAATGCATAAATAAGTAAATAAGTAATAAAGTAAGGAATTACTCCCTTAGAGTTAATAAGGTAGAACGTCCTTGAGGGGTTTTCGTCATGGAGAAAACCGGCCCTAAACGTGCTCACATCACTATGGTTGCAACCTCTCCAAAGCCTTGCAAGAAGACCCATGTGCATTCATATAGGCTGCCATGTGCATCATTCAAACATGTGCACTCCAAGTGACATCAAATAGGCGCCAAAACACCAAGAGATGCTTCCTATTTGGACAAAGACTCCTTCCTCTCTATTTTGGCGCCCAAATGACTTCCAAAAGCATTCAAAACATCCTTAGGCTGAACCAACACCTTACCATTCAGCCAAGAGCATGTATCTTTATTAAAATCATTTTTTTTCATTTAAAAATCATGTATTTTCAAAGGGGTTTCATCCATAGCCGAACCATCATGTATCTATTCGGCCTAAACCCTTTGAAAACTATAAATAGGCTATTGCCTTCATTTGTAATCATCTCATCTCATATATAAAAATTACTCTTGTCAGTTAATTTCTCTTCAAAGTTCTTTGTGAACTTTATCGATTAAACAAGTATAGTTCCTATACTTGTGGCGTCATTCCTTCCATCCAGATTCCAAAATTCCTAGATTGATATCTAGTGGGTTGAACACACTATCACCACCCCTCAAGCAAGTTTGTGAAGACCGGGATTGTGCTTCATAGCATAGTTTCCTCTTTGGCGTGTTTGAGATACAACATCACCTCCATTGCCATTTCATCATCAACCATCATCAACATCCTTCATTAATATCATCATCAATTCAATAATTCTGCAGCAGCCATCTCTATTCTTATTCTTTCCTTTCATTACTTATATTATTATCCCCTTTATTAAGTCCATTATTAATCATATTTTCTTATCTTATTTTGCAGCCTAAACTTATAAATTCAAGGACATAAGTACTTGTCAATTCTAGATCAGGACACAATAACGCTATCTACTCTTTTTCATCAAAGCGTGTAGATCACCTTACATCAGGAAAAATTTGAGATGGATAGAAATGTTATCAAAGAAATGCTACGGAAGTGTTGTAGAAATATCCTTCAATGGAATTTGAAATTGGCCTCCAATGTTGTTGTTGGACGTTGCCTCAATGATGAAGGAAGGATGCTTCAATGGTGATGAATATGGTAATGGAATGATAGTATATTATAAGACTAAGAAGGAACCAATGCTATAAAGGAGCAAAGACCCATTTCTTATAAGTTGTTATAAGGGATGGTAGTAAGGACTTTGACCCACTATCTACAAAGAGATAGGAACTAGAAGTATCAAGGGAAGGAATGACACCACAAACTTAAGAATTAAGCTTGCTTAATCGATATAGTTCTAAAAAGAACTTGAAGAGAGAATAATCTCACAAGGATTTGATTTATCAAAGTGTTGTGTTACAATGGAAATAGCCTAGCCTATTTATAGTTTTCAAAGGGTTTAGGCCGAATAGACACATGATGGTTCGGCTAAGGTTGAAACCCATTTTAAAATACATGATTTTTAATGAAAATACATGATTTTAATGAAGATACATGCTCTTGGCTGAAAGGTTATGTGTTGGTTCGTCCCTAAGGATGTTTTGAATGCATTTGGAAGTTATTTGGCGCCAAAAAGGAAGTGGAATGAGTCTTTGGCCGAATAGGAAGCATCCTTTGGTGTTTTGGTGCCTATTTGATGTCACATGGAGTGCACATGCTTGAATGATGCACATGGCAGCCTACTTGAATGCACATGGGTCTTCTTGTAATGCTTTAGTGAGGTTGCAACCATAGGATGATGTCTTGAAGTCCTTGGGCAGCCTAGAGATGAACTAGATTCAATGGTAAGTGATGTAAGGCTCTTCTGATGCCTTAACAATTGATTGTGGATCTAGGAAGGAAGCAAAACAACCTGCACAAGTGAATGGCTCAAAAACGAGATGGTTAAGGGTGGTAAACGTATGGGTGAATAGGTGGGCTGTTTAAATGAGTGATAGAAGCGGAAGATGGTTGATATGGCTATGGTTATGGCGATGAAACAAAGGGAATGGAAGTGAGGATAGTATCTTGAAGAAGTCTCAAAGAAGAACCAATGCTATAGAGAGCAAAGACCCAGACTTTATATTGCTTCTTCAAGGGGTGGTGTCAAGTACTTTGACCCACTAGTTATATGAACTAGGAACCAGAAGTATCAAGATGAAAGAAAGGGGTTGACGCCACAAGTATAAAATATACTTGATAAGTCGATAAAAGTCACCAGGACTTAAGGAAGAGAATAATCTCACTTTAATTAAACAAAAAGGTCTGTTTACAAATGATGAATGCTTTCCTATTTATAGGAAATGGAGAGACATGGCCGAATAATTACAAGGAGATTCGGCCAGCCTTGTGCCTTCCTATAGAGACATAATTTAATTCATAAATAACTTGAATAAATAGGTGCTGGTTTGGTTGAAGTGTAGGGGCATGTCTCATGGCTGAATAGCACTT